GTGGGCACATTCATGGCATTGCACATGTGAAGGTTAATAGGACAACTTGCAGTTGGCTCTCTCTTTCCATCATGTATGTTCCAAGGGTCAAATTCATGTGTCAGTATGGGACATTTATTTGACCACTTCCTCTTCATAGCATTAATAACCTCATCAGCTTCATGTCCTAGATATAGATGGGAACTATGGGAACATATTAGAGGTATGCAGACATCAGATTCCCATTTTGATTGTCTTGTCTGGGTGGAGAAAGACTACTGGAATTTGTCTGTCAGCAGGACACATGTGTTCAGAAAATATACTGTTCTAATCCCACCCCCACCCCCACCCCTTTTTTTTTTGGTCTTTTTGAGACAGGGTCTCCCGGTAGCTCCAGCTGTCCTGGAACTCATTATGTAGACCAGGCTGGCCTGGAACTCACTGAGATCCGCCTGCCTCTGCCTCCCGAGTGCTGGTATTAAAGGCATGCGCCACCACACCCGGCCTACATAACACTCTTTAAAAAAGATTTTATTTGTGGGTATTTGTGTATATCACAAGTGTGCATGTGTCCAAAGAAAACTCAGGTTCTTTTGAAGAGCATCTCTCCAGCCCCTTAAAAATTCTTGCTGGGCATGGTGGCACATGCCTTTAGTCCCAGGACTTTGGAGGGAGGCAGAGGCAGGTGGATCGCTGTGAGTTGGAGGCCAGTCTGGCCTTACATAATAAGCTCCAGGCCAGCCAGGGCTACAGAGTGAGACCCTTTCTCAAAAGACTCAATTTTTAGCTAGTGACCCATATATTCCAAGTAAAAAGATACAGGCTTGGGGCTGGAGAGATGGCTCAGTGGTTAAGAACACTGGTTGTTCTTGCAGAAGACCTGGGTTTGAATCCCAGCACCCATATGTCTGTAACTCCATCCCAGGGATCTGACAGCCTCTTCTGACCTCTGCGGGCATTGCATGACATGGGTGCATTTATCTACATTCAGGCAATGCACATACACATAAAAGTACTAAAAAAAAAAATTAAAAGATACAGTGTTTTTTTTTAAGATAGGGTCCCATTATGTAGCTGGCTGCCTATTCAGAGATTTGCCTGCCTCTGCCTCCCAAGGCCTGATATTATAGGGGTACACCACTGCACCTGGCATAAGAAGATGTTAAACAAGGGCAGTGAGATGGCTCAGCAGGTAAAAGTAACTTCTGCCAAGGCTGTCGACCTGAATTCAATCCTAGGGACCCACATGGTGGAAGAGAACAGACTCCCACTTGTCCTCTTGACTTCCACTCCTTCTGTGGCATAAATAATTAAAATTACAAATATTTTTTAAAAAGGAAGGCTACACAAATATAAGGGATCAGCTGTGTATTAAGTGGAACACATAAGGTCTGAGACACTGTCACTGAATCAGACAGAATGGCCATGAAAAAGCAGTTTGGCACTTAACTGCTCTTGTGATTTTCTTTAGGTTTTTCTTGGGGATGGCTACTTTTACCAAAACGGCCCCTCTGCCTGGGAACTCATAATATGATAACTATTGCTCAGGGCAGGAACTCATTGGGTATGGCTTGTATGAGGTGAGTGGCCTATGCCTGCCAGGTGTGTTCCCAGACCTGACTTCCAGAATTGGCTGGAATCTGCATAACCACTGCATAGCCTGCCCTGCTGCACACTTTCAATGATCTGATTTCAAACACACTGTACAGGATACTAAAGGCCTTTAATACAGATGCAGAAGGAAGCTGCCCCCACTCTTCCAGGCCCTCTTAATCCTCTGCTTGGTCAGTAGCGTGGCCTCCAGTTTGTAGGCAAACCTGTGGTCACTGTCACTTTATCTTCTAGCGTGGGAAATTCTTGGGATACAGTTGGAAGAGCTTGCCTTCTTGTGTGGGCTCGAAGCCGTACTTCTTCAGGTCGTCCACATCAAAAGTCCCTTCTTTGAAGTCTTTTTCAATAGCAGGTGCAACGGATTCCATAAAGAGAGCTTTGGCTGTCAGGGGTGTGTCCACTCCTGCGGGAGCTTGGTAATTCACGTAGGGCTTGAGTTTGAAGCCAGTCAGGTCTGGGACGACAAACTCTGGGACCATTTCCTTTACCTGCACAAACTTCCAACCAGAGACATAGATGCCAGTTCTCTTGGCACCCCGGCTCTTGTAGAAGGTGCGTGGTCCCCGCTTGCTTGTCCACTTGCTCATCCTGTCGGCTCCCCGCACCAGGCCCTGGGTCACTGCAGTCAGGAAACCCATGCTGCGCCCTGTAGAAGACAGCTCTGAAAGGATATTCGAGACGGCTTAGAGGCCAATGGGCGGGAGGGTCTCGGCACCCTAGACCCCACAAGCACAGAGAACTGTGGGCCCCGCGGGTGCAGACGACCCCAAACCCGGGGAGACACGAGAGGACCCAGGTCCCACAAGTGGAGACTACGACCTGAAAGACCCCGGACGCCAAGTGCAGACTACCCAGGGCCCGAGGAGCCACGCGGGCACCAACCGGAAACGGACGGACGGACCTGGGTGGTGGCTCTCGACCTCGGCTCGCGACAGCTCGAACGCAAACCCCGGGGCCCGGGACCCGCCAAACGCCAGCAGACGGCCACCCCACCCCCACAGGGTGCCTTCACCCCGCTTCCGGCCACTCCGAAACAACAGCCGCTCCGACTGGTCGTCGTCGTTCCCAATGCGCAGCCTCAGCCCTGCGAGGGGGTGTGGCCTCGGGGTTCAACCAGTAGACGGCGGCACCGCCCAGGGGGCGGGGCGATGGCCGTCCTGCGCCGCGAGGTGGCGGTCTTGGTCCGGCCTGCGGCGACATCACCCCCTCCCTCCGCGCTCGCGTCACCGCGACGGGCCCTCCGCGGGGCTCGTGAGGCGTCGCCCTGAGGTGTCCGGGAAAGCGCCGCTCGGAGGCCTGGGCTCCCGGACCCTCCCTGTCCTAGCCAAGCCGCGGCTTCTGGGACTGACGCGCAGCCGTCCGCAGAGCCAGTGACCGGCTCCTCACAGCACGCCGCGGCGGGGCCCAAGGACCCCGGGTCCTCGTTTCCCCTAGTTCGTCATCTGTGGTCCCAGCATACCCGGGGTGCCCGCTCCGTTTGCCTACTCCCCGCCCGCGCGGCTTGGCACCTCCCTACGCCTCACCCCTGGCGTCTGCTACCGTCTGCCTCCTCCCTGGCCTCGTGGCTCTGCTCCCGCGTCGGCTCCCAGGCTGTGAACCCCCTCCGCGCTGGTCACCCCTCCTTCCCTGCGACCTAGTGACGCCGAGACCCCTCCCCCGCGCGTGACCAGGTTGTGACCCAGGTTGTGGGTCCCAGGTCGTGACCCTTGTCGACCGTCACCCCCCCAGTTGAGACCTCCACTGGGTCGTGACTCCACCTAGACCAGAGCCCTCCCCAGCTGTGACCCCTACGGGTCTCATCCAATCCGGTCTCTCCCTTTCCCCTCCCTCACACCTCCGAGTTTCTCAGTTCCTGCTGCTTAGCCTCCCGCCTGAGCTACCCACCCGTGCCCCAGCCGTACCACCTCCCTGAACTGGCAGCTCACCTACACGCGTGCCTGCTGCCCAACTCTTCCCTTGACCTGCTGGGACGGGAGCCACTTGCCTGGCCGCAATTGTGGATTCCCTTTGGACCACGTGAGGGCTGTTTACCTGAGACATTAGCTCAGAGAAACCAGACACTTCGTCGGGAAGACAACTCCGGGAGCACAGAGTTCCGATAGAGCATTTGACTTGGAGTGGAACTGGCAGGGCTGGAGCTACACGCTGTCCTGCTTTGAACGGCCTTTTAGAGCTTTTTGCCTCAGCCTATCTTTTCGCCCTCCACTGTGCTTTGCTTTCAGCCATGCAGGAAGAGGAAGATGGTTACCTTGAGGTAGGTAGACCAGGCATGCATGAGCACCAGACCCGTAGAATTCCCACACTGGGCATTTCGGGACTAACAGAAGGATCCTTTGCCTCCAGGGAATATGGGATTAGTGACTCAATCAATTCCCCTGTCAAAGCCCTGGCACTTGTTAACTGGACAGCCCTGTTTCACAATGTGGAAAGTGGGACTGGATAGTGGGCCTGGTTGGTAGGTCTTGATGAGGCCTTTTTTTCCCTTAAGGTCACAGTTGTTTCTTGCTGTGGTGTTTGTTTTGCTGAGACTCTTTCTTAGTCGAGCACTGTAGCCACAACCCGAAGCCATCTGTGCCAGAAATGTGAAAAGTAGCTCCATCGGCATAAGTGAAAAGCTAGAGAAACAAGACAGTCCACCATGAAGACTGTGAAAGCTGTTAGTCTGTGTCCTTTCCTTGGAGAGGGTGACTGTCCTGAGAGCTCAGAGGGAAAGTAGTGAGAACTGAGCGGGAGAGGGTCGCTGAGTGTTTCAGTTCTGAAGCAAAAGCCCACTGGTTATACATTTACACAACTGCACAATAGTACAACAGACTACACGTGCAACACTGATATCAGATTGTATCACTTGGTGAGATCATAGTGTTTGTATAAATGCACCCTGTGACTCACACAATGAAATCACTTATGGACATGTTTCTTTGAACATCATGCTCGCTCTCTCTGTAGACCAGGCTGGCCTTGAACTTACAGAGATCTGCCTGCCTCTGCCTCCTAAGTGCTGGTATTAAAGCATGTGCCATCATGCCCAGCTGTGCCCTCATTCTTAAGGGCTACTCAACTCTATTTACCTCCTGAACTAAGATCACAAAATTGAGTTTTCTAGGCAACCCACTTGTTATGTCATGATTCAAAATTGTGCTTTTGGGGTTCTTTCCTGAATGTCCTTGGATTTTTCTGACATGGATTTCAGAGTCTGAGGCCTGGCTTTCCTAGGGCTATACTTTGGTCCTTGGCACTTGCATATAACTGCAAAGGATTAGTAGGTGGACCCCATACCCAATTCAGTTCCTGACTGCTTGGGAGAAAGGGGTTGTTGGGTAGACGCTGGAGGAATGGGGAACAGGTCTGGTTTTTTCTACAGGTCAGCTTCTGGGGAATGAGTGAACTTTCTCTGTTGGTCACCTACTCACACTTATGCCTTGAACCCTTGCTCACCTGCCTCCTTCCTTCCCGTAGATCTGGTCCCTGGGCATCTGAAGTCAGTAGGGGGCAGGGACAGAACCTTTTCCCCTTTTTCTTCTTTGACATGTGAGCTGGTATTGAATATCTCTAAATCCAGATAGATCTTCCCTTGGGAAGTCTTTTTTTTTTTTTTTTTTTTTTTTTTTTTTTTTTTTTAATACTCGGTCTCACTGGTTGTCCAGGCTGGAACTCTTGAGCTCACATGATCTTCTGCCTCATCTGTTCAAGCAGCTGGGACTAAATTGAATGCAGGTGTCAGTAACATCACACACTCCTGTGGGTTTCTCAGCATTATTTCTTGGTGAACTCTCATGGACTCATGGACCTTGGGGTTGGCAGCCTTGGTCTTGTATCCAGAGGATACAAGAGATGACCTCAGCCTCTCCTAGGCTGCTTCTTAAACACCAGAGAGTCAGGTTTATTAATGTACAGGTCATTTGCTGATAGTGTAGCTACTGTGCTTATTCTTTCTAGTACCTAAAGAAGACAGGTTGCTGTTTTCATGTCCTTGCAGTTGAGCTCATAGGGCCTCAACTCCACTGGAGAAATAATTTCTCTAAAATACGCATTTAATTTTTAAATGTTTTATTATTATTATTTTGGTCTTTTTGTGACAGGGTCTCGCTGTAGCTCCAGCTGCCTGGAACTCACTCTGTAGACTAGGCTGGCCTCGACCTCATAGAGGAGCCGCCTGTCTCTGCCTCCCAAGTGCTGGGATTAAAGGCGTGTGCCACCATGGTGAGTTCCAGGCCAGCTAGGGCTACAGTGTGAGACCATGTCTAAAAAAGACAAAAAAATAAAATAAAATAAAATATCAAATAAATGAGGTGGAAGAGACCAAATGAGACAACCAACATCAGCCTCTGTGCATACACGTGCACACACCTATATGTACCTCTACATATACCACACATACACATATACCTTTTTAAATTTTTAAAAAATAGTTTATTATTTTTATTTTATATGTATGAGTGTATTGCCTGCATGTGTGTAGGTGCACCATGTCGTGCAATGCCTGTGGGAGGTCAGAAGGCAGCATTGGATTCCCCTGGAACTGGAGTTACAGATGGTGGTTAGCTGCTATGTGGGTGCTGGAAGAACCAGGGCCCTCTGCAAGTACAGCCAATGCTTGTAACCACTGAGCCATCTCTCCAGTCCCATATATTTAACTTACATTTGTGTGTGTGTGTGTGTGTGTGTGTGTGTGTGTGTGTGTGTGTAGATGTAGATGCACAAGTACCATGACATGCAAGTGGAGGTCAGAGAACAATTTGTCTGTTCTCTCCTGCCACCATGTTGGTTCCAAGGATTGAAGTCAGATCATCACACTTGGCAGCAAGTACCTTTATCTACTGAACCAACTATGGACCCTGTTTCTTTAAAATCTTTAGAACTGTTGACTTACTCCCTAGCTCCCAACTTGCTCTGTGACTAAGCCCAGGCTAAGAAACTGGGTACCCTGTCTGCCCACGTTGACTGTTGGTCTCTCCTCAGGCTGGCTACTGTCTGGGCACTGCCCTGAGCTCCTGGGGACTGCATTTCATGGAAGAGCATTCACAGTCCACCATGGTAATCACGATGGGCTTTCCTGGGGATGGGCCCTGGTAGGCCTGTATCTGTATTTATAACTGCTGAGCCATCAATGTCTTGATGACATTCCTGTTTTCTCCAATCCTGCTTAGCTGATGGGGATTGCAATTGGAGCCCTCTTGGCACTGGCCTTTGTTGGTGTTGCCATCTTTTTTGTGTACAGAAGGGTGAGCAGACTCCGTGAGTATCTTGGTTTGGACTCTGGCTGGGTGGTGGTGGGGTTTGCTGGATTTGTATCCTGTGAGGTATTTGGAACTCCTGGGAGCTGCCCTCAAAGACTTGTTGGAATGTGGTCACATGCTAGGGTTCAAGCTGAAGTTCCCAGGCTACCCACAGCCTTTTCTGCTCTTTCCAAAGCAAGGATCCAGTAAGAATAGAGGAAATTCCTGTCTCTTCTGAGATGAGTCACCTATACTGCTGCTTTCCCTTGCTTTCTGAGGGGTAACCAGGGATAGAACAGTCAAGGTCATAGTTTATTGTCAGCACCTACATCTTCAGGGTCTGTCCTGTGCTTGTACTTTTAGTTCCAGCCAAGATCATTGTCCACCCATTCAAGTCTGCACTCCCCAGGTCCCTTTCATCTCACAGTGCCCCTTCCCTCCCCTCACAGGAGAAGCAGAGCCTACCCCTCAGTACAGGTTCCGGAAGAGGGACAAAGTAATGTTTTATGGCCGGAAGATCATGAGGAAGGTAACTGGTGTGCAAGCCCTAGATTGTGCTTGAGGTGGTGGGGATCAATCTCTTATGAACAGACTTCTGAACAGGCCTGCTGCTTGCCAGACTCTTCAGCTCTCTGCAACTTCTGGTATATGCTGCCATCTCCTCTGGCTCCGTGACTCCTGCCACTGGTTACAGGGTTTAGGAGATGTTGTAAGTTATGTTGAACATTGCCTGCGTTCCCAGCAGAACCAACACATTTTACCTAGCAATACCTCCCCTCCTCTGGAGGGTAGCCTAGAGGCATGGTGTTGGAGGAGCATATCTCTGACTTAAAGTACCTGAACTTCTTTGGCCAGTGCAAGGACACAGATTCTTGGACTCTGAACTAAACGCTTTTGTTAACAAGAAAAAGGACAGGAAATGACTTTCCAGGAACGTCCTTGGGAACAGGCTGGGCAGGTACAGAGGGCATTGAGTTTGCCCTGAGGTGGGTGGTCACTGCCAGATTTGGAAGACTGAGCCAAGGAAGGACCCCAGCCCTCTGGGGATTGGGGAAGCGACTGCAGTTCCCATGTTTGCCCTAAGGTAAAAGCTGTGTGGCCCACTTTTCCATGTTTATGGAGGTTTCAATTCATAGATTGCTTAGTCTTCCTGTACTGAAGTTCAGGAATTGGTGGCTAGGGATAAGCAGGATGGGTTGAACCATCCTCCTTTGGCTAACTGCCACAGCAGATCCTTACTGCCTCTTCTCACTCCCCTCAGTTTTGAAGAAACAGTAGACGTACAGGTGTGGAGCTCTGAAGACTTGGCTACCTGAGGACAGTGCAGACCATACTATGTGATATATGGGATTGTGTAGTATGCCATTGTCCAAATGGTATTCTCTGTGTCCTTGGCTGATACGTCTCCTTCAAGGAGCCAGGCTGGTAGGGGTTGGTTAACCCAGCTATAGGACCTGAGATCAGGAAGGCAGCAGCCCACAGGCAGGATCTGGAGACAGACTAGGAGGCTGAGAGCTTAGACCTTGGCAGTTACAGGGTCAGTACTCAGTCTGTCCCTTGGCTCTGCAGGTGACCACACTCCCTCATACCCTGGTTGGGAATACAGCTGCTCCCCGGCAGCGGGTCAGGAAGAGGACCAAGGTGCTATCTTTGGCCAAGAGGTATTGGGAATTCCCATAGGGGCCTTACTACTGCTGTGACTCCCTCTATGTCAGAGCATACCAAGGGCAGAGCTTCCTGGGGCTTTGGAGTGCTCATGGTATTGACTTTGAGACCCTTGTTTCTTATTTGAATGTTTCTTATTTGAATGCTTTGTAGGATTCTGCGTTTCAAGAAAGAATACCCTACCCTGCAGCCAAAAGAGCCCCCACCCTCCCTGCTGGAGGCTGATCTCACCGAGTTTGATGTAAAGAATTCTCATCTGCCATCAGAAGTTTTGTACATGCTGAAAAATGTTCGGTAAGATAGATAGGCAAAAGCTCTGTCTGGAGTGTGTCAGTGGAGGCACCTCTTCCCTACCCTTCTGCCTTAGATTGTCTTTTGGCTTAGCTTTCCTATGTTATGTGATGGTTGGCAAGCTGATTTTCTTTTCAGGACTACTTGCCTCTGCTCTGTCATGGAAGGAATGCTCAGCAGAGTTAGACTTCTTCAGGTCTGTGGAGCCTTGTGGTCACTCACCTTTTCTGCTCTTTCTTGTTCTAGTTAAGAAGTCTCAACATTTTCATCTTCAGTGCCATGTATTGACTTTGAGCCCCTTGGTTCTTAATTGAATGTTCTCAAGAATGTGAGAAGTGTGTGGATGGATCAAAATCTGCAAGTCTGGATCTGTCTGTCTGTCTGTGTCTGTCTCTGTGCTTCTCTGTCTCTCTGTCTCTCTCGCTTGCTCTCTCCGTTCTTGAGAAGATCTTGTTACATAGCCCAGGATGACTTTGAGCTTGCAATTCTAATCTTCAGTCTCTCAAGTGCTGAGATTACAGCTGTGTACCATTATGCTAGCTTTCTTTCTCTTTCCTTTGAACTTTTATTTATTATTATTTTTAAATTTTATTATTTTATTTTATATATATGAGTGTATTGCCTACATGTATGTAAGTGCATCAGTGCTATACAATGCCCATGGAGGTCAGAAGAGGGCATTGGATCTCTTGGAACTGGAGTTATGGTTGGTTGAGTTCCGTCATGTGGGTGCTGGAATTCGAATTGAATCTTCTGCAAAAGCAGCCTGTGCTCTTAACTGCTGAGCTATCTCTCCAGCCCCCTTATTTATTATTTTTATTTTATTTGTGTAAGTGTATTGCCTCCATATATGTAAGTCCACCCATGACTTGCAAAGCCCATGGAAGTCAGAGGGTGTTAGATTCCCCCTCAAACTGAAGTTATGGGTGGTAGTTGGCACCATGTGGGTGCTGAGAATTGAACCCCAGGTCCTCTGCAAGAGCAGCCAGTGCTCTTAACCACTGAGCCATCTCTCCAGCTCTGCCTCTTTCTTTTTTAAAAGGTACTTTCTAGGCTGAGAGATGGCTCAGCGGTTAAGAACACTACACCCAGGTTCATATCCCAGCACCCACATGGCAGCTAACAATTGTCTGTTGTTCCAGGGGATCCGACAGCCTCTTCTGTCCTCTGAGGGCATTGCATGACACAGGTACACTTACCTACATGCAGGCAATACATACATACACATAAAATAATAAAAAAGTATTTTCTTTTTAATTTTAAAAATCATTATTTTATATGTATGATGTGTAAGTTAGTATGGGTGCACAAGTGCCATAGCCCTGTGTAGAAATAAGAAGACAACTTTGTGGAGTTAGTTCTTTCCTTCTGTCTTTATGTGGGTTCTAGGAATTGAACTCAGGTCTTCAGACTTGCATGACTCTCTTTGTTCTTTCTAATGCTACATACCATCCCGGGGGGCACTATATGGTCTGTCTTTTTTGTTTATGACTTACATTCACAGTCACAGTTTGAAAAGTTCTTTGAGCTGATCTTTATCTCAGAGGTTTAAAATTCTTACTGACAGTGATGCCAGATAGGCTGAGTCAGCCTTGTGTTCCAGGCTGGCTCTGGCCCTGCTGCTAGGGACAGTAGACCATGTCCCTTACCATACCTTCCTTGTGGGGAGCATAGCCTATAGTATATTCTGTTTTTACAGAGTCCTGGGCCACTTTGAAAAGCCACTGTTCCTGGAGCTTTGCAAACACATGGTCTTTGTGCAGCTACAAGAGGGGGAGCAAGTCTTCCAGCCTGGGGAGCCTGACACCAGCATCTATGTGGTACAGGATGGACGGTTAGAAGTCTGTATCCAAGATGCTGTGAGTCATGTGGGACAGGGGATGGGGCTCCTGTGCTTAGCTGACTGTCTTATTTATCTGTGTGTGTATGTATGTGTGTACACCTATGTGTATGTGTGTACATGCATGTGTATGGAGGCTAGAGGTCAATTTCAGGTATCATTTCTGAGGCACCATCCACCTTGATTTTTTTTTTTTTTTAGTAATTAAAAATTTTTTTTTTTGTTTGTACAAGTGTTTTGATGGCCAGTATGTTTACTGGTATGTGTGTAGTGCCCATGAAGGCAGGAAGAGGGCGACAGAGGTAAAACTGCCATGTGGGTGCTGGGAGTTGAACCCAGGTCCTCTGGAAGAACAGCAAGTGCTGTTAACCTCTGAACTGTCTATCCAGCCCTGATCCATTCACCTTGATTTTCGAGTCAGGGTCTCTCACTAGGACCTGGGGATCATCAAGTAGGCTGAGAGGCCAGTGAGCCCAAGAATCTACCTGTCTCCGCTTCTGCAACATTGGGATTATAAATGTGTACCACTATGGCCAGCTACTTTCATGAGTGCTAGGAATTGAACTCAAGTCCTCAAGCTTGCAAGGCAAACATTTTACTGATGGAACTATGATCCCCAGCCCTGGCCATCTGTTGTTATCTTAAAGTTTTGGAAAGCTTTCTGACAGGGCTGGAGAGATGGCTCAGTGGTTAAGAACACTGGCTGTTTTTGCAGAAGACCCGGGTTCGAATCCCAGCACCCATGTGGCAGCTAACAACTGTCCATAACTCCAGTTCCAGGAAATCCAACAGCCTCTTCTGTCCTCTTTGGGCATTGCACAAATAGGGTGCACTTACTTACATGCAGGCAATACACACATACACATAAAAATAATAAATAAGCTGGGTGTGGTGGTGCACGCGTTTGATCCCAGCACTCGGGAGGCAGAGGCAGGCAGATCTCTGTGAGTTCAAGGCCAGCCTGGTGTACATAGTGAGTTCTGGGGCTGGAGAGATGGCTCAGCAGTAAAGAATACTGGCTGTTCTTGTAGAAGACCCGGGTTTGAATCCCAGCACCTACATGGCATCTAACAACTGTCCGTAACTCCAGTTCCAGGGGATCCAAAGGACTCTTCTGTCCTCCGAAGGCATTGCACAATACAGGTGTGCTTACCTACATGCAGGCAATGCACTCATACAACCTGGGGCTACAGAGAGACCCTGTCTCAAAAAGACCAATCAATCAATCAATTAAAAAAAAAAAGCTTTCTATCAAAAAATTAGTGTATGCCAGGTATGGTGGCACACACTTTTAATTCCAGCACTCAGGAGGCACAGGCAGGTGGATCTCTGTGAGATTAAGGCCACCCTGGTCTACATAGTAAGTTCAGGTCAGCTGGGACTACAGGGAGACCCTGTCTCAAAAAGACAATAAATAAATAAATCAGGGTCAAGAGTGGTAGCAGATGTAAATAAATAAATAAATAAATACAAAGTGTAGAAATTTAAATCTCAGGTATTTTGGAGAAACGTCATACCCTTATTCCAGTGTTCAAACACAGCTGCTGTTTTTTACTTTGGCACATTATAGCCCAAGGCTGTCCTTGAATTCATGGCAGTCCGCCTGCCTCAGCCTCCTGGGATTACAGACGTGCCCGAACCCAACACACATGGCTGGCACATTATCTTTTACTGTTAAGCACATGTGTGCTTAACCCAATAGGTGAGCTTATTAGCAGTATTTAGTTTTTTTGAAAAAAATATTTTATTGTGGCTGGAGAGATGGCTTAGTGGTTAAGAACACTGGTTGTTCTTGCAGAAGATCCGGGTTCAAATCCCACCACCCACATGGCAACTAACAACTGTCCGTAACTCCAGTCCCAGGGGATCCGACAACCTCTTCTGTCCTCCGCGGGCATTGCACAACACGGGTGCATTTACCTACATGCAGGCAATACAATTATTTTATGTGTATGCGTGTATTGCCTACATGTAGGTAAGTGCACCCATGTCCTGCAATGACAGTGGAGGACAGAAGAGGCTGTCGGATCACCTGGAACTGGAGTTACAGACAGTTGTAAGCTGCTATGTGGGTGCTGGGATTCGAACCCGGGTCTTCTGGAAGAACAGTGTTCTTTTTTTTTTAGGTCTCTTTGAGACAGGGTCTCTCTGTAGCCCCAGCTGGCGTGGAACTCACTCTGTAGATCAGGCTGGCCTTGAACTCACAGAGATCCATCTGCCTTTGCCTCCCGAATGCTAGGACTACAGGGATGCGCCACCACACCTGGCCAGTCAGTGTTCTTAACCACTGAGCCATCTCTCCAGCCCCAGCAGTATTTATTTTATGCTCCATCAGCTTTACTTTAAAATTTTAAAATTATATTTTTTATTTATTTTGTGTATAGGGATATATATGTGTATGTTTGCATGTGTAGCAGAGGGCAACTTGGCAGGAGTCAGTTTTCTTCCACCATGTTGATCTCAGAGACTCGACTCAAGTCATCAGGCTTAGTGGCAGATGTCTTTCATACTGAACAATCCCACCAGCCCTTTTGTTATTTTTTAGACATTGTCTAATGTAGCCTAGAGTGGCCTGGCACTTATCATGTAGCTGAGGCCGGCTTTAAACTCCTGATGCTCCTGTTTCCGCCTCCCAGATGTCACCTGATACATTTTAAACATTCAAAAACATTTCTTACATGTTCTCAGTCTATTCCCATTAATGATTTGGGTATTAAATCATTATATTGCCATAATCAACTGACCCCTTGCCATTTTTTTAGGCTTATGATGGTAAATAAATTTTTTTCTGGGGCAGGAGAGATGGCTCAGCGGTTAAGAGCAATGACTGCTCTTGCAGAGAACCCGGGTTCAATTCCCAGCACCCACATGGTGGCTACGAACCATCCTTAACTCCAGTTCCAGGGGAATCTGAAGCCCTCTTTTGACCTCCTCACTCACATACATGCAGGCAATATGCTCATACACGTAAAAATAATAATAAAATATTAAAAAAAAATTTTAAGACAGGGTGTCCCTATTGCCCCATCTGTCCTGGAACTCACTATGTAGACCAGGATCGTCTTGAACTCACAGAGATCCAATTGCATCTACCTCCCAAGTGCTGGGACTAAAGTTGTGCGCCACCATGTCCGGCCTGATTGTAAATAATTTTTTTTTAAAAATTTTATGTGTATGCATGTATTGCCTGAATATAGGTAAGTGCACCCGTGTTGTGCAGTGCCCTCAGAGGTCAGAAGAGGCTGTTGGATCCTCTGGGACTGGAGTTACAGACAGTTGCTAGCTGCCATGTGGGTGCTGGGATTCGAACCCGGGTCTTCTGCAAGAACAACCAGTGTTCTTAACTGCTGAGCCATCTCTGCAGCCCCAATTGTAAATAATTTTAAATGTAAGGAATAGTGTTCATTTAGCGAGGAGCTCAATGCTTGCTTCTTGCTTATGTTGTTACACTCTTGGATCATAGAGTAACTGCAGTGTAACTGCCAGGACTAAGCCCTTTCTTTCTGTTATGTTGCTTTCTGAAGGTTGTTAGTTTATTTGTCCTGGCAGTTTGCTACCTAGGCTTCCCATTTTACTGTTTAGAGCAATGCTTACTAGCCTTTGTGTGATAGTCACTCCTGATCTTATAGTCTCAGTGGTTCCTACCTTCTCTCATCTCAGTATGGTTTTTGTACTGTCCTGCTAGGTTTCTAGACCCAAGGTGTTTTCTGAGAAGAATTTTTTTTTTTTTTTTTGTCTTTTTGAGACAGGGTCTCCTTGTAGTCCCAGCTGACCTGAACTCACTATGTAGATCAGACTGGCCTTGAGCTCACAATGATCCATCTGCCTGCCTCTGCCTCCCAACTGCTGGGATTAAAGGCGTGCGTCACCACGCCCGGCTTGAGAAGAATTTTTGATGATCATGTTTGCAGCTTAATCTATGGTGAGACCTGATGGGTGGTGAGACCCGATGGGTTATGACAAAAGAAGAGCCTTGGTTTATCTGGTCTGGAAGGGTTAGAGCTGACAACTCCCATGGCCTGTAGCCACCCCCCTGTGAAACAGACTGGTTTTGACCTTTAAGGGGCCTCAGAGAAGGTCTGGATCTGCCTCTTTTTGGCCTTTGAATCAGGTAGGAAGGGGTTCATGGAGGGCAATCAAAGCCATATTTCCACAACTTCAAAGGGATTTTCCAGCCAGGCATGGTGACACACGCCTTTAATCCCAGCACTTGGGAGGCAGAAGCAGGCAGATCTCTGTGAGTTCAAGGCCAGTCTGATCTGCATAGTGAGTTCCAGGCCAGCTGGGGCTACAGGAGACCATAATAAGACAAAAAAAAAAAAAAATTACATTAAAATTATGTTGCAGTCACATCAAAAGAAGCAGGAGGATTAGGAATTCAAACCCAGCCTCTGCTACAAAGCAAGTTTGAGGTCAGCCTGGGCTGTATGAGACTCTGACTCAAAACACCAAAAATGAAAAAAATCTGTAATTTTATTGTTAGTAACTAAATTTGTTTCTGAGAGCCCTTGGAGACAGTGTAGCTAACCAATTTAGGTTTAGGAGAATTTGTCCTAAACTTGTCAAGTTTGAATGAGTCCTGGGATTGGGCAGTGGCTACGTTAGTCAGGGTTTCTTCATTTGTATCCTTCCTCTTCCTTTTTTGCATGTACATGTTCATGTGGGGGGCGGGCGGTTTCCTCATATACTATCTACCTTAATTTTTGAGACAGGGTTTCTCCCTCTGACTCACCAAGTAAGCTAGACTGGCAGGCGAGTGAACCCCAGGGGTCTGCCTGTCTTCACTTCCCCAGCACTGGTATCACAAATATGCACCATCACACATGACATTAAAAAAATTATTATTATGTATATGTGCATGGCAGTTACACACTCTCTCGCACACACAGGTTTGAGCATCCCATTATGCACATGTGGAGGTCAGAGAACAACTTTTGGAAATTAATTCTCTCTTTTCAGTTTGGGTTCCAGGGGATCAAATTCAGGTTTTTATGCTTGTATGGCAAGTACCTTTTTTTTTTTTTTTTTTTGAGGCAGGGTCTCATTATATAGCCTTGACTAGCCTGGAACTCAGTACGTAGACCAGACTAGCCTTCATCTCATAGAGATCTGCCTACCACTGCCTCCCAAGTGCTGGGATTAAAGGCATGTGCCATCACACCTGGCTGGTATCTCTCAAAAAAAAAATTTTTTTTTTGGTCTTTTTGAGACAGGGTCTCCCTGAAGCCTTAGCTATCCTGGAACTCTCTATGTAGACCAGGCTGGCCTTGAACTCACAGAGATCCACCTGCCTCTGCTTCCTGAGTGCTGGGATTAAAGGTGTGTGCCACCATGCCCAGTTTAAAAAATTTTTTTTAAATGTATTTAAACTTCAAAAAATTTAAAATTTATTTATTTTCATTTTATATGTTTTGAGTGCTGCCTGGGCTTCTGTGACAGTCCTGGTAAACACCGAACTGACACCTCTTGTTCTGCTCTCCAAGCACAGGATGGCACTGATGTGGTAGTCAAAGAGGTTCTGCCAGGGGACAGCGTCCACAGTCTCCTCAGCATTCTGGATGTGATCACTGTGAGTATTCCCCATCCCCAACCAGTAACCAAGCATCTCTGGGTTAGCCCTCAAGGCCTCGTCTTCTTGTTTTGATGGACAGCTCATCCTTGATTGTTAAAGATCATGTCTCTGCAATGACTCAGGTGGGAAGCATTGTCTAGATGGAAGCAACTCTCATTCTCACCACAGTAGTTAAGAAGATGTCATGGGAACAGCTTTGACATTGTATTTAAGACAGAAGGAACATAAGGATTTGGTTGTCTTTTCTGTTTTCTCTTTGTCTTTGTCTGTCTCTGTCTCTGTCTCTGTCTGTCTGTCTAGAATCTCACTTTGTATAACCTAGGCTGACTTTAAACTCCTGATCTTCTTGTCTCAGCCTCCTGATTGCTAGGATTACAGGTATATGCTGCTGGGCCCAGATATTTTTTTACTTTTTATTATTTATTGTACTGATTAACATACAGAAGTGAGAGGTGTCATCACATCAGCCTGTGTGTTCTTCACATGTTGCTGCAAGTTTCAGCTCAGTCGTCCTGTTTCTTCCCTGTTGGTTTAGTTACTTTTTTCATTGCTGTGATACAATACTTGACAGAGGTAACTTAAGAATGGAGAGATTTGTTTTGGCTCTCAGTATTAGAAGGTCTAGTCTACTGTGGTAGAGAATGCATGGTGGAGTTCATGGCAGTGTGAGTATGTGGTTGAGACTCCTCACATCACTGGGGACCAAAAGACACAGAACAGGACTAGGAGCAGGGCTGGCCTATAACCCTAAAATCCGTGGTGCACACCTTTAGTCCCAGCACTTGGGAGGCAGAGGCAGATGGATCTCTGTGAATTCAAGACTAGCCTGGTCTATATAGTGAGTTCCAGGCCAGCCGGGGCTACAGGAAGACCCTGTTTAAAACAAAAAACAAACAAAAAAAACCACAACACACTTGTTAATAAGAGTTTAAGATCTGGGGGCTGGAGAGATGTCTCAGCGGTTAAGAGCACTGACTGCTCTTGCAGAGGACCTGGGTTCAATTCCCAGCACCCACACGGTGGCTATGAACCGTCCTTAACTCCAGTTCCAGGGGAATCCAAAGCCTTCTTCTGACCTCCGCAGCATTGCACAACACAGGTGCACTCACATACATGCACTCGTACATATAAAATAAAAAATAATAAAAAAAAGAGTTTAAAATCTGTTTAATATATTATTTTGAGTAAAATCTATGTAAATTGAACAAATCTTAAGATTAGCTGAGTACTGATAAAATTCATGTCTATGTAACTCAGAAGGGGCATCCACTTTTCACCTGACTCTTTGCAGCTGCACTTTTGTGTTAGCTCTGTACTGAGTGACTTTTACTTTGTATATTAGTTCCTTTTTTTGTTGCTGTGACAAAATACCTGACAAAAGCAACTTAAGAAAGGAAGGGTTTATTTCAGCTCACAGTTTGAGGGTGCAGTCCATTATGGTAGGGAAGACATGACAAAAGGAATGTGTGAGGAGTCCATAGTCAGGGACCAGAGAAAGTGTAAGACCCCCCCAGGCTGGGGTACCCAACGTCCATGGGAGGCCACACCCCAATAACTCAGTCCTCAGACCAGGAGATGCAACAAGCAAGAGGATTTAATCGTTTGCGCAGACGGGCCCCTGCCTCACTCAGAGAGAGAGAGAGAGCAGCAGCCCAGAGCTCAGCTTACAGGTGACTTTTAAAGGAAAAAACCACAAACTACAACCGGCAGCAGTGGGAGGGGGGCCGACAGCAACCGGCAGCAGTGGGAGGAGGCCGGCAGCAACCGGCAGCAGTGGGAGGGGGAAAGTTTCGGGTGATGTCCGTGGGAGGGGGCCGGCAGCAACCGGCAGCAGTGGGAGGGGGCCGGCAGCAACCGGCAGCAGTGGGAGGGGGCCGGCAGCAACCGGCAGCAGTGGGAGGGGGCCGGCAGCAACCGGCAGCAGTGGGAGGGGGCCGGCAGCAACCGGCAGCAGTGGGAGGGGGCCGGCAGCAACCGGCAGCAGTGGGAGGGGG